TCAGAATGTCTTATCAGTAGCCCAACTAAAATATAAGAATCACTGTGCCCAGTCCAGAAGTTATCTAATAAATTACCAGATTTTCTCCAAAACACAAAAATTCTATCAATTTCTCTTTTTGGTAAGGTGCTAAATTGCTCACAAGTGTGGAAGGGATCAGTAAATACTAACAACAACCATAAGGGCAGCTCTGCCATCCTGCTCAAGGACCCCTGTGGAGCATCACATTCTACAATGTGAGGAAATGCTGTAACTATGGAATATGATGGTTATCCTGAGCATTCCTTCTCCAGAACAAGCATCATTGGAAGTTGCTTCTGGAAGTGACCAGGATTTGCTTCACTACTTATTTTCTCCAGACTGAGTAATTTCATTGTGCAGCAGGACAGTTTTCACCTCTTTTTAGCTCTTCATGAGAGGCAAACCAAAGCTTCCGTCTCAACCACAAAATTAGAAGACTATCATAGAATGGAATAACAAGGGAAAAATTGCAACACAAACCTAACACTACTTGCTATATTTGCAAAGTTACTATTAAAGATCAGTCTGTGAAGTGTGGGATTGTTTTATAACTCTGTTTCTGTGATCATGGGATGATCTGTGGATTTCCTTCAAGGTAGAAATCACAGGTACAAACCTACAGACCTTCAAAGTGTTCAGGGGAAAAAAAAAAAAATCAAGCATGCATCTCATTTCTCCTGAAGAATCAGTAATCAAAGCTAGTTCATTTAATAGACCTTCCCAATAAGAAATTCTTTTCCCCCTAAAGATATTTCCCATTGTTTCCTTAATGTGATATTTTCAGTTTTCCTGGGTTTCATATTAACGCAAATTTGAATAATATTTAACTTGGCTCCATTAGCCCAAACAATCTGTAACATTTGTCCAAACATAACTCTAAAAGACTTGGTGGCAAAATATTTTAAGTGGTGCCATTAGATCTTTAACTAATTAAATCAAAAAGTTTCCGACTTGAACAGGTATGTGGAATTTTTAGCTCAGGAGAAAGCAGAGAGAAAGAAATACTTTTCCAGAGAATAACAGTTTAAAAGGCACTTCATGTGTGGCCATCAAGAAACTTGTTAAAATTATTTTCCCAACATATAAACATTTCTCCAAGATTAAAAATATTTTTGTGATTCCAGATATGATTAATTTGGTTTTATTTACATGTTAAACATACTAGTAAGAAGATTACTCATCAACCCACTGTTATGTCATAAATAGTTACAGGTTGCTGTGGAGCACAGGGAAAAATGAGATACTCTGATATATCCTGTGGCTGACTGATGTTTCACCTATGAGCAGAATTTAGACTCAAGAGGAATGGAGTCTTTTTCCCTCTACTGCTTACATCAGAAAACCCAAGTTGGTACAATTAGTAGAAATCTAGATTTGAAGAAAGGAAAGTGATATAAGCTTTAAAACAGTTGTAATGAAGATGCTGGTAAACACCAGAAAAACAGTGAAAGGCTGTTTTTCACACAATGGACTGACAGAAATGAAAACTGAAAACAGTATTTAAAATACAGATTAAAGTGTTACCACATGACCTTCTGTATCCTATTTCCACAAGGTTTCAGCCACTGAATGATCCAACAATACACTATTTATATATGTAAAAAAACCTCAAACAAACCCTCCAACACTGCTACATTTCACATTTATCAGTGGTGGTATCTCTGAGGTTAAATGTTCAAACTGAATATTGTGAAATCACTACTATTGTTCTTTTCGAAGCCATTAATCTAAAATTCAAATCTGTAAATAACACCAACAAGAACAAGACCAAGACAGTGATTATGCTCTCCTTCATTCTTTTTAACACTTAACCTGCCAAGGCCAAGAGCCTTCTTCTTCTGGCTCAGCTTCCTGCAGCAGCCAAAGAAAGTTCACATCTCTGTGATGTTTCTTCTCGCAAATGAAACCCAGTAACAACGTTAATTCAGCCCTCCTAAAACTCCAGCTACAACAAATCACCGTTTATGAAATGGTTCTCAGGTGGCCAACAAACCTTGTGCTTGTGAATCATTTTAATCTGCAATTTAAAAGCCTAATTCTAGCCTTTAACTCTTTAAACCATTCACACGCCTCACCAGTGAAGCACACAAACCACCCATGTTATCACACATACTTGGCACGCTCCCCTGGTACTGGGTTGTTGTGGGGTCTGTTGTTCCAGATTTGGGGTTTTTTGGCCTTAAAATGTCAGGTTGCTACCCACAAATTTTAGAGTGCATGGTTTCAGGCACAGAAGTTAATGTTTCTATAGCACTGACATCTGAAAGCTATTGCTCACACAGCTGAGGTTAAAAGGAGGGCTGATATGGCCACAAAACATTAAAGGTTGTAGAATAGTGTAGTGAGAAAGCTGCATATTGCTATCATTTAAGAGTTCTCAGTGCTATAAAATGCATTTAGAAACAGCCAAGCATTCTATAAAATTTCATTCTGGGACAGAACTTAGCCTTTAGGAGCGCTCTTTGCACACAAACTTTGTTTTCTTAGTAACCTCATCCAGCTTTCTTCCTCGGAGGAAAAACTGCCTGAGAATTTGAAGTTTCCCTAAGTCTATGACCCAGAAGGAAATAAAACAGGAAGTCAGGCCATACAATCTACAGCATTTGCTTACAATTTCAAAAACATTTTAAGTCAGGGGCTAACCCACCAGAGGCACAGCTGAGTGCGCTCTCCTGGGGTCACCCCGGAGCGCCGCACAGAGCCCGGCCGGGGCTCTGTTTAACATATCCCCCTGGATGTGTCCCTCTAACATCACCCTGGACGTGTCCCTTTAACATCCCCCCTGGACGTGTCCCTCTAATATCCCCCCCTGGACGTGTCCCTCTAACATCCCCCCTGGACGTGTCCCTCTAACATCCCCCCCTGGATTGTCCCTCTAACATCCCCCCCTGGACGTGTCCCTCTTACATCCCCCTGGACCTGTCCCTCTAACATCCCCCCTGGACGTGTCCCTTTAACATCCCCCCTGGACGTGTCCCTTTAACATCCCCCTGGATGTGTCCCTCTAACATCCCCCCCTGGATGTGTCCCTTTAACATCCCCCCTGGATGTGTCCCCCTAACATCCCCCCCTGGACGTGTCCCTCTTACATCCCCCCTGGACGTGTCCCTCTTACATCCCCCTGGACCTGTCCCTCTAACATCCCCCCTGGACGTGTCCCTTTAACATCCCCCCTGGACGTGTCCCTCTAACATCCCCCCTGGACGTGTCCCTATCTCGCACGGGGCATTCTCTGAGCTGTGCCATCTGCTATGCATTAAGGCACGTCAGAGACGCCGTCCCCTGCACCGGGCGAGTGCCAGAACTCTATCAGAAAACTCAACTTTGCTTTCAGCTTTCTCCCTAGGAACTCACTGAGCAAGTAAAAACAGTCAGCTCAAAAACTCCCGAGAACTTACAATGCAGGGGGATTTGCTATGAACACATTCATTATTCTCCGTGCTCCCCACAGCGTTACGTTGCTATCATAAACCCTGAGGCAGATTAAAAATTGAATACCCAGCTTCCCCGCAGCAGTTTAAAACAGAAATTAGAGGCTGTTTAATGTGAATTCTCCATTTGAATTAGTTTATGGAAGCAGTCGGTTTTCCATGGTGATGAAATCACCATGCTGAGAAAGTAAGGAGAAACTGCTACCAGCCGCCAGGTGAAAACATCCAGGTTTCTAATTGCATATTAAATTGGTGTTTGCACTGACAGTGATTACAGCCGGGAGCACTCCAGGTACAGCTCCGAACTCCTTTTCAAGCAAGTCACTGCACAACCCGATCGGGCGGCAGCTGAAAGTTACCGTGAAACTCTGAAACCGATCGTTTGTACAAAGGCACAGCGGCAGGAGCGCTGGAACTCCCGAAAAGCTCCTCCCCTTCCCTCCTGAAAACATTAATCCGTGTTGGATTGCTGAAACTCCTGTTACCGAGTGCTCTGCACTGATAGGCAGGTGTTGGGAAACTCGTCCCAGGTGTTCCTACAAGTGCTCGAGAAGCCCTTAACGGTTTTTACTTACAGTCTCTCCGCATTCCTGGGAATATCCCTCGGCACAGTTTTGAGTCCCAGTCCATGACAATCCACGTTGGAAGCAATACACGTACACTTATGCGGGCATCCTCCAACAGGCATCCAACTCACGGAGCTCCAAAAGCTCAGGATGGTTGCAAGGCACAGAAACGCACTTCTCCCACCAGACAACATGGTTCTCGATCGCTTCGGTGGGTATAAAAGTGAGCGCTAGCAGCCGGCCCTTAAAGATGAAATGCCTCTAAGAAAAAAGGGAAAAGAAAACAAGAGGCTCTTAGTACAGCCCAAGGGAACCCACCACTGCCATCATCGCCGGAGCACCAGCAAAGCTTCAAAGGCGCCCGAGAAGGTCACGTTAGGTGGAAGAAGGTGGGGAATTGCCTTTCGGGCTCAGGTTTCTTTCTGTTATCTACGAACGGTACCAGAAGGCAGATAGTTTAACAGAGCTCGAGCCAGATGCGTCCTCAGATGAAAGAGAACCCGGGAGCAGAGGCAAACACACACAAAACATCCATCAGGAGCGGTGGCAACCTCCAAAACAGCCTCCTCCGCTCTGCACCGCCCCACCTGGGCCGGGCAGGTAACCGCGGAGGGGACGGCCGGGGCTTCGCAGCGACCGCTCCGCCGCGGGCCCGCCCCCGCCGCGGGCAGTGCGGGGCTGAAGGGTACGTGAGGCGGGCTGAGCCGGGCCGTGCCGAGCCGTGCCGAGCCGAGCCGAGCCGAGCCGTGCCGGAGCAGCGCTGCCGCCGCTGCCGAGCGCGGAGCGGGGATGGAGCGGGCGCGCCCCCCCCGCCGCGCCATTGGCCGCCGCGCCTGACGTCACCGCCCGCCCGGCCCGGCCCGCCGCGGGTTCGGGACCCGCCGGGACCGGGACAGGGACCGGGAAAGGAACAGGAATAGGGACCGGGACAGCGCGGAGCGGGGCCGGACCGGTGACAGCGCGTAGGGGACTCGGCGGCGCCTCACAGCCCCTGCTTTCCCCGCCCGGCCCCGTGGCGAGGGGACACAGCTCCCGGAGCGGGGGCGAGCCCCATCCCCGGCCCCGGTTCGGGTTTCGGGAAGGAATGTGCGGGCTGGGGCACGGGAACGGGCGCGCAGCGGCTCCGCGCTGCCTCTGCGGCCGGGGAGGCTGCGCCGCCTTTTGTTGCCCGCGTTCGCTCTCCCCGAGTACCCCCTGGCGGCGGCTGCTCGGCCGGGGACACGGGGACACACGGGCTGTGCTCCCCGGACACCGCCGGGGACACGGGGACACCCGGGCTGTGCTCCCCGGACACCGCCGGGGACACGGGGACACCCGGGCTCTGCTCCCCGACACCGCCGGGGACACCCGGGCTCTGCTCCCCGGACACCGCCGGGGACACCCGGGCTGTGCTCCCGGACACCGCCGGGGACACGGGGACACCCGGGCTGTGCTCCCCGGACACCGCTGGGGACACGGGGACAGCCGGGCTGTGCTCCCGTACACCGCCGGGGACACGGGGACACCCGGGCTCTGCTCCCCGGACACCGCCGGGGACACGGGGACACCCGGGCTGTGCTCCCCGGACACCGCCGGGGACACGGGGACACCCGGGCTGTGCTCCCGGACACCCCCGGGGACACGGGGACACCCGGGCTGCGCTCCCCACACACCGCCGGGGACACGGGGACACCCGGGCTGTGCTCCCGGACACCGCCGGGGACACGGGGACACCCGGGCTGTGCTCCCCGGACACCGCCGGGGACACGGGGACACCCGGGCTGTGCTCCCGTACACCGCCGGGGACACGGGGACACCCGGGCTGCGTTCCCCGGACACCGCCGGGGACACCCGGGCTGCGCTCCCCGCACACCGGCACCGTCCCTGTCCCGCCCCAGCCCGAGCGCCTCCTGTCCCGGGGTTCCGCTGCGGTCACTGCTGAGCTTCGAGCGCCGAAGTTCAGCACCAAAAGTTGAAACTTGGAAAAATTTGCTGAAGACGAAAGCAGGTTCTCTGCACACGGTCATCCTGTTCTGATTTGGTGCGGTTTAAGGCTCAGATATTTTACCTAAAGAGGACCAAAAAAGGCAGCACACCCCAAAAGTCCTAGAGCACTGGGAAAATGGCAAGTCCTGCCACAAGGCATTTTTTAAGGTAAATCTTGGCCCTTTAGCAGGAAGGGTCACCCCCATAGGGCACCATACACACAGTGACATCCTGACACAAAATAAAGCCAGTGTATGAACATCCACCTGTTTCAATAAACCATGCTTCTTATTTCACAAACTTCAAAATAGTTCAAAAGACAGGTTTATGACTAACTTACTTGGGAACACAGATATTCTGTTCATTATCTGCATCACAAACTTGTGGTCCATGACCATGGAGACTAGGTTCTGATCCTGTGGGTAAGGAAGTTTTCTACAAGAATCATGGCCAGCATTGCCACAAAACCCTCACAGCGCTCCAAAGATTTGACATGGCTAAGTTACATTAGGACTCAGGTTCTCAGGTTGTGCCCAAAATGTGCTCTCATTTTTTTCTATAAATATTTACTATTTTAAGTGAAGGGCTAGCAGGAAAACCACTGTAAGATATTCACCACAAGCTATGGATATGGCCTTCCAGATCCTAAATAACCTCTTCATTTCTGGCAATGTTTTCTTCATGTTTTGATTATTGAAGTTTGGAACTACCCGAGGCATTCCTGCCCTCCTGGATAGCTGTTTTTGCCCAAACCAGTGAAGTGTCCCCCTTCACAGCCAACAAAGCAGCTACTTGTCTACTGCCTTCTGTAACAAGCAAAGATTTGGCACTCAAGTGTTTCCCTGTGAAGGCAAATTTGTCAAAGGGCACAAGCAAGACCACAAGTTAACCTTCAGCTCTCCTGGTCTTTGTCTGAAAAAGCAAGAAAGTTGTTTTTCTCATATAAAAGTTAATTATTTGCATGAAAAAATGTACTTGTTTATAGAAGCTACCTTAATCAAGCCTTAAGATTGAGCCCCTCACATGAGAACCCAAAGCTCAGTGCAGTGGCCCTTATACAGCAGTATCCAGCCCTGGAGGCTCAGGGGCAAGTGACACAAGGGTTGAAAACACCCAGAGGAGCTTGGCTGTCACCACTTGAGTTTTATGCTGCTTCAGAAAAGATTAGAAAACACTATCCCCTCACCCATCCCAAATCCACAGACACCAAAAGTTTGGGAAGGCGTGCATCACCCTGCCCAGATTGCCAAATTAACCTCTCCTTTCCCAGATCAAAAGGCAGAGGAGAATGACATTGACCACCAGCGTGAGCAGAAGGAAGGGGCAAACCCCAGAGCCTGTCCAGCCTCAGGGTGCCCAAAGCAGCAGTGATAACAACCAGGGGCCCCAAGGCACGGCCCTCTCTCCTTTTCCCTCTCCAGAGGCCAAGGCACAGCCAGCTCCAGGCATGTCACCAACACTCAGCACTATCTATTCTGAGGCCAGCACCCTCCATCAAGTGTGAGCCTACAAGAGATCAGCTCTTGAACAAGGAACAGCTGGTTCAGACCAGGCAAGACAGAAATTATGCTGCTTAGGAAGACAAAGTACTCACAAAGCTCTCAAGTCTCCTCTGCAGACTGATGGTGTACACCCTTAGCTCATTCTGACAGTGAAAATACTTTTGTTGGAACCTGATTTCCCCTGGCAGCCAGGCATCATTATTCCAAGGAAAGGCTCTTTTCCTGTTCTAGTTCACTAGCAATCATCTTCCAGCTCTGAAGATGGCCCTAAGGAAGGCACAGCCCCTGCCTCAGGATGGGGGTAGAGAAGCAGTTGGATGCTCAGTAAATAAGATTATAGGTAATGCAGACATTGTAGCCTGATGGAATTTTTTTTTAAACTGTTTATCTGTGATGAATTTCAAATTCTAAAAAACAATATCCCTAAAACCGCTTCAACACTGTCATCCAAAAATGTTGACATATTCCATGCTTCAGTGGTAATCCCTCACAATAAAATTTCCCTGAAAGACAAGTGAACCTGATTAAATAGCAGAAAAACTGATGATCCAAAAGCCTAATCTATCCTTGAAACATACTTATTTTTGATAAAAGGTAATAGGACATTCTCCTTCATTCCAGTTACAACAGTCTTAAAGGGAGATGGCCACAATCTCAAGGCACACCGCAGTGGAGCAGGGTGTTAATTCAGTTTGTTTTCCTTCACACACATCCTATGGCTCCTGGCTCACAGCAATTGCCACAAGCTGGCAAATGAGTCACTCTTCATTCTCTTTCCAGGGCATTGGCAGAGGTCAGCACAGCAAATGTAATGCAAAACTGCACAAATTCTTGGATAATTTGAATAAATAAAATGTTTCTTCCTAATATAAATACAAATTTAGACAAGTTATTTTTAGGAGGCATCTAAAGCTGGACAGCTTTTATCTGTACTATTTCCTCAAGTATTAGACACTACCAACATTTCCATATATGTAAAACCCCTTACAAACAAGATTACTATCAAAGGTGTGCTGTCTGCTCAGCAGGGATTTAAATCTTGCCTGCTGCTTCTACAATGAGAAATATACTACAAAGAAATACAGTTTCTCTTAGTAAATAAGTAGTTCACTATTTAAAACATCTTTGAAAACTGACTAATACATAAATATTTGTTTTCAAGTAAGGAAAAAAGTAGTTTTGCTTTTTTCCCTTAGCACGGGATGACATTTACTAAGCAGAGTATATCTATATTCAAGCAGTGCTGCCACCTAAGTACTTCTGTAGCTGCCTTCTCTCCAGAATCCACCATCAACATCACCAGTATCTCCACCTTGCAATGGCACCCCCATACCAGCCTAGGAAAGCTGAGTTCTGTGGGCAGCTGGGCAGAACCAGACAGAACCATCACAGCAGCTGCCTGGGGAGAGGTAAGGGGGGGAAAAATAAACAAACACCAAAATAGAAATCTGGACAATTTTGGGCTTCCAACTCATTCTTCATGAAACACGCAAGCACAAGTGTTTACAGTTAATTTCAAGATAAATTACATGGTGTGTCATGCATAACGTCACTGTCCCTTGTTGGGGACTTCCTGGGCAGTTGTGCAGAGGCACACGCTTGCTGCACTGGTGCTGTGCATGTGGCATGCACATGTGCAGGACAGCTGATGGCTCCCAAATGCCTTTTTTTTATTTTTTAGCATGCACAGTAGTTGTCTAGAGGCCTGATGGGAACTGGTCAGTTGGATGAAGTCCTGAAATCTCAAAGTTTATGGGCAAAAAGTTAGGACCCATTAAAGGAATCCAAGCATGTGGCACGCTGGTTGAAGAGCATCACAGAAGCCTGTGCTGCAGGACTACCTGCACAGCAGAGCAGAACTGCCACCAGCAGCAGCAACCAGGAGGGTGGAGAGGAAATGACTAATTTTGATCACTTCAAAGGAATCAAGCCTTGAATCTTATCATAAGTCACGACCAGCTCTGAACAGCTCAAAGAGGAGCTCTCAAGCACATCAGACACATCACTTAATGCTTCCTCACATGACGCGTGCTTTTCAAACCCGCCTCATTTTAAAGCCCGTGATGCAACCACCGGGGCAGCATCGCATACAGCGAGATAAATAAAGTCTCTGCGCACATTGCCTAAAAAGGACATAAAGCAAAGCCTCGGGCACCCTGACCACGCCGAGGAGTTGGAAGTGGGTTTGAGCGGGAGATGGGAGCGGGCTGGACGCGGTGCGGGATTGCCGGGATGCGAGATGCCGGTGCCGGGATGCGAGATGCCGGTGCCGGGATGCCCGCGGTGCCGCGATGCCCGCGGTGCCCAGGTGCCGGGATGCCGCGATGCCCTGGTGCCGGGATGCCCCCGGTGCCCGGGATGCCGAGATGCCGGTGCCGGGATGCCGCCGCGGCTGCCTCGGGGTCGCGGTGCCCTCTCGCGGCCGCGGCGCTGTCCCCGAGCCCTCCCACCGTCGTTCTTCGCGTTAGCCGAGAAAACAGACATCTGTTTTCTTTAAGGATGAGTTATGCTAAGCAAACAATGTCTGCATCTCCGTTTTTAAATATTGTGCCTATTGAAATAAGCACGTACTGCTCTTAAAATACTATAAAATGAAAGCAGTCATCATATCCAAGGAACCACTGAGGGTTGCTGCTTCCTCTGAAACAGCAAAGAGATTACAAAGTCCAGCCAAGGAAAGAAGCTACAAACAGGTTAAAATATCAGCAACCTGTACATCTTTACTCATAAACCCACTCCCACTGGGAGACGTGGGAAAAGCAAAGATGACCCCACGCCAGAACAGTTCTGCCCCTTTGTCCCCTGGCACGCTGGGATTCACCACACAGGACACAAAACGCGTGGCAACTTTAAGCAACAAGGAATTTAAATGGGATTTATTCCACTTAAATCAGAACTCCCATGCAGTAATTATGTAGGAGATCATGAATGAAACCTAAACCATCTATTTTCTCTCTTGCTTAGATTCAGAGACTGAACTGCAGTTCTCCTTGAAATTTGGAATTAGTTTATTCTGTCACTTTAATTCTAACAATGGATGGCACTGAATTCACTTGCTCCTTATTATAGTTTCTAATCTGCTATTGCTTCAGTAGTCAAAGTGGGAAGTACCAGAAAGCCAACACTGAGATGGGATCATGAACCTTTGCAGCTGCTGAAAATGTTTTAAGTATGTTAAAGAATTTTAAATTACAGCTTATGAAGTAAACAAAAAGTAGTTCCACTAAAAGCTTAGTAAATTGAATTAGGTTTTTCTGTATTAGATTTGTGTCCTATACCAGAAACAAGCCTTCCACATTAGATCCCCTCTGCTGCTCACCCTGCCATATATTCCATCAGCTATAGGGCATTAACTATTGAGTTACCTGTCTCATGCACACACAATTTCCTACTGCTTTTTCTGCTTCATGCTCAGCATTTGAGTAAATGAATGACCAAAAGGAGGAAAAAGACAGGAAGCAGAGCCTGCTATTATTTGTTTTTACCACAGAAAAGCCTCCTAATAAATGAGGTTTTTCCTCTTAAATCTGCAATCAATAAGAATATGGCTTGCATGTAGCAGGCAATACTCGAGATATTTTGCTCTGTTTGCAGGGAGTATAATAATCCTGCAAGGAAGTACCAAATAAGTTGGAAAATCTAAATAATTTCAAAACTTATGAAACATATAAAAGGCCAAGGAGGTCACAGCATGGCATCCTTTCAGGCTTTTTGATACAGAACATTGCAGGCTTGGCAATGGTTACAGGAGAGTCAAAGTGTATAACCCATGACCTTCACTACCACATGAAGGAGAGTTTCCTTAGCTTCAGCTTGTTCTGTCTCAGCAGAAATTGTCACTAAGCAATTTTGAGAGATTCTGCACCAGAGGACATTTAGGGTTTGTTTTGTTGTTT